AAGGTTATTTTTTGCTTTTTGAAAACGTGGTTTTTTAGATTAATTTTTTAATCTACTATAATTATTTTATTCTTTTCAAAAAATATTCTTATAATTTTTCTTTTCACAAAAGATTGCATTGTCATCAGTTTCTAAGCTATCCTGAAAGTTTCAGCTTGCTAGCTAGTCGGGAAGTTAGTGAAATTTGAGTTGCAAAATTTGATCCGGACAAACAAACAGACAAGAAAGTGAGTTCATAAAAACATGGTAAAAAAGGAATAAATGTTTGCATTCATTCAGTAGAAAATATTATGGTAACTCATGATCCATGTATTTGCAAGCACTGTACTGTGATGTACAGTATTTTCCTTTGATAACCATATAGTGAATAATGTTTCTTTGATGACTTAGATCACAAATCCACAATTTGGCCAGCAATTTTCTGAAGAATGCGGATGTGACCTATATATATAGTTGAGTTAGACCTTAACATGAATCACTGCAATTGTAAAGGGGGAGAATTTCACAAGGAATGAGAAAAGCATACTTATATAAATTCATATCCCACCAAAATATAAATTCTGAAAAAATTTGAACTGGAAGATGTTGATAATGTAAATTTCCGATAATTTTTAGCTAGAAAAAGGGAAAGTCTGTGATATTCGAACACTTGGAAGTTGAATTTTAAAATTTGCATGCCACATTTGGGATCTTCAGCCAATCTTCGGGATTCGAGCTCTTATTGGAGTCAGAGCTGAAATTGAGTTGAAATTTATAAAAAAATATTATTCCAGGTGAGAAGGTTTTCTGCATGTCTCAGACGCAAATTTTTCCTCTATCTATAAAATTTGTGGAACCGAGTGTCAATTTAGGCAAGATATTTCTATATACATCAGCTTGTTAGAATTTCTGAAAAATGTGCTAACCTCACAGAAACAAAAAATAATTCTGAAGACAGAATAAAGCAAATCATGGGCATGAATAAGAAAAATGAATCTCTAAACATCAGAACAAAAATAACAAAACAATCCAAGACAAGATCTCTCTAAATATACGAGAGCAGCGTGTTCACCTAATCTTTCTGCAAATTTCGTTCCAGAACAGAATTCCCAGATCAAGAAAAGCGCAAAAGTGTCGGGAAAGGCTTATCTATACGGTTCCAAGGATGCTGACAAAAGTTTTCCCCCGCGGGGCACAATAATCAAATCTGCGCGAACCACGCGGCCTTTTGCACAATTCCCAACGCAACTTTTCGCGGAGATGTATAAGGGGTATGAAACTTCTGGCAGGATTTCGGCCCGAAAACTTTTTCGGGTTCAATCTGCTTTGCCTTTCGTTGGACAGAATACGGTTCTGATCAACGAAAAATATCGCATGTCCTTTATTCAAAAGCAAAATTTTGAAAAGTGACGGTACGAAAAGTTTGCCAAATTCGCCAATTTTGAGTGCTGCTGAGAGGCTGCTGTAACTTATACCCGCGAAATTTAAGATAAAGTTTCCAATCGATAATTCGAACCTCCTTATGCCAATTTCTTTTTTAGTCCACTTCTGAATTCCCTTAGAAAAAACTGCACAAATGCCTTCCCAATAATCCTTCGTTTAATTAGAGTGAGTGCAATTTCCGGTACTGATACTGTATACGAAAGATATAAAATCTAGTCATTTAATTGACCCTAATCCATTATGAGATGGAAAGTTATCTAAATTAACCCGGAACTCTCATCTGCACGAGTCGCAACTTCATCCTGCCAAAAGCATGAATATACGTAATCAAATACTTTTTGCATCTCATCACGAACCCCAAAAAAATTAAAATTCTCGTCAGAAATTCACTCGATCTTGATTAAAATCTCGGAGCCTCGCAAACATCACGTTGATTGAAACTTCCCACATATATGAAGTCAACACGAATAACAACCGCATCCTTTTCACACCACACGTCCACTACACAGAGAAAACAGACAAAAATACTCTTAAAAATCACCCTAAAAGAGGAAAATAGAATAAGCTACAATAAGAAAACCTAGCTTAATTCTTGTTTAGCTACTGGCACGAGACTCGTGGCAACTCATTCTAAGCTTCATGAATAACAAACGATCCCCCACGTCTTCTATTTATCTCTGGGACTATACACATAAGAAATTCACTTGTCCAACAGGGGATCCCGATCCTCGTCGATAGAGAAGC